GTATCAAATGAAAGGGCTACACTAGTAAAACACGATGATTATATTAAAATTTACAATTCAAGATGGACGCCGTTCCAATATGGCGGACTAGGTACATATTTTTCCACAACCACCACAATATGGGTATCAAATAATAGGACTACACTAGCAGAATACTATCCTTGGGTCAAAATTTCAAACTCAAGATGGACGTTGTTACAAAATGGCGTATTAGGTGGGGGCATGATTAGTCGTGTCGAGAACAGTTGCGTCTAAGATTGTGTGACGTTAGAGGGGCAGATAAAAAAAATAGATAAATAGATACCTCGTTAGTAAGCGGTAGCTATACCACCCAAGTTAAGGTAATAGGTTAAAACGTGCCGAGGACTGTATGGCATTAGGGTGGATAAAAATGTAATGTCGTAAGCGCTTCCCCCTCAAGATTGGGCGCACCTTGTTGTATATTAAGCCTTGCCCCTTTACTGGACCTCTGGGGGAGGTCGACCGTCAAAATGCCCCTTAAACGTGGGAACAACATGGTAACAATAAATAAAAAAGCAAACAAAAATAAAAACGAAACTGCTACACAACGAAAAAGAAGGCTCGAAAAGGCAAAAGAAAAGTATAGAACGAAACGTGCAAAGGAAAGTGAAAATGAAACCCATAGTCGACTACACAAACGAAGAGAACATTTAGCAACAGAAACACCTGAGCAACATGATACCAGGTTAATAGCACAACGTGAGAGACAAAGGCAGCTGGTAGAGTCAGAAACACCTGAGCGTCATGAGTGCAGGCTAGCATCACAACGTGACAGATGAAGAGAGCTAATAGCGTCAGAAACACCCGAGCGTCATGAGTCCAGGCTAGCATCACAACGTGACAGACGAAGAGAGCTAATAGCGTCAGAAACACTTGAGCGTCATGAGTCCAGGCTAAGATTACAACGTAACAGACAAAGAGAGCTATTAGCGTCAGAAACACCTGAGCAACATGAGGCCAGGTTAACAGGACGGCGTGAGAGACGAAAGGAGTTAGAAGCTTCAGAAACACCTGAGCAATGCCACGACAGGTTAAATAACCAACGTGAGCGTGCACAGCAACTGTACTGTACTCATACTGTACGTTACAACATAGCTGCATTAGGATATCTACCTGCAGAACTGTCTTCAAAAACAACATTACTTTTATGTTCGCGCTGCCAAACACATGTGACCAGTAATAAAAAAATAGCACCATCAAAGGCGTACTGGAATAATCTGGATCCAGGTTCAATACCAGATGAGATTCAAGCACTGACGCAAGCAGAGCAGCGATTGCTGTGTAGAATCATCCCGTTTGTTAAAATCGTAAAATTTACTGGGCTATACGGGCAGTACGGTTTCCGTGGACAAGCAGTGTTGTTTGCCCAAGATATCTTTGAGGTCTGAGGTGAGCTATGAGGTTTCGGATGCGACCGGGATAAACCGCTAGGATGATGATGATAATGACGATTATAATAATATATAAGTCGATGCAATCCACACTTAGTATAGTAGAAAGTAATACAGAAATAGTTAATGAACCCCACGTTTTTATTTTAGTCTAATATGCCTAAAAGCTATTCTGCCTAGTACTAAAATATTTCTGATCTAGAAGGTCAAAATACCTACTTGATATAGTGTGGGCTGCTTAGTTTACCTACCAAGCAAACCCTGGTGTTAGTGTTCTTTCATGAACTGCCTGTCGGCCGCTGGCATGGTTCATGTTATGACAACCACTGCCGTCAGAGATATTAATGACCGAGATCACCTACGTAGGTTGATAGGTAAGTAACTATTTATTTATTTTGTAGTTTTCAGTGCACATAAAATAAAACCGTTTAACTTAAAAGTTTTTTTACCGATTTTTATCTATTAACCAATCAGAGAACAAGAGAATTACAGTTCTGAAAAGAATTGTCGAAACAGTCTCTCATTGGTCTCGTTGTTTTTACACATCCAAACACTACTAAGAAATAAAATAATAAAAACCAATATTGATGTTCGCCATACATTGCTGGTTTCTTTTTTAAATTGACTAAGTGAAAAATTAGACTTAAAATTTAGTGAACAACTCCGCGCCTTGCTGAAAAATTAATATTTGATTACGATAAAGAATTTACAGTGAAGTGAACATGCGTAGTTGTTAATTAACAGTTGTGTAATTTTAATTAAAAACTTAAAAATGAAAATCAAATCTTAACTTTAAAGTTTCATCTTGTTTAAACAGCTGTTTCATGGGTAATATAAGAACAACCTATAATCATAATTTCAAATTACATCATTAAAATTCAATCGGATTGGCCGTTGTCACTTTTAAATTAACTATGTTTCGCGTCTTATTTTGGGGATATTAAATAAAATTGTGGTCTCTATATCATTTCATGTGTAATTTAATTGCCAAAAAAATAAAATATATCAATGATAAATAATTAAAAAAAACTTCCTATCAGCGACTTATTAAAAATGGATTTAAAAGGTAATTATAAAATTAAAATATTATTTTATTTAGAGATTTTTTGAGAGTAATCTTTTCATAACAAAAAGAAATGATGATGAACAGTCTTTGATGGAATACGTGTTCTTTTTCTTTCCATTGAATACTACTAGATTATAGCCGAGATATTCAGAAAGCGTACAGCAAATTCAACATTTTTTAAAACCATCAAATTCACAGAGATTTCTCTACAATAATACTTGGGAGGAGTAATACATACTTTCTTTTTTTTTAAAAATAATACACGTTAACTGGTCCCGTAACCCGGGGATTCTTAGCACCCCCTACCCTACCGTTACCATAGTCGCTACCGTGAGTAGGAATAGCAGGGTGACCGGGAACTAGGGGCCGTCGTTTTTGTGTGTCTTTCATGGAGGAAATGCCCATAATCTCCACGCTGGGCAGGCGTGTTGGAGATCGCAGAGACACAGCTCTTTTTTGTACCACTAACACTGCTGCCTGTCAGTGATCAGGTTTTTTAGTTGTGCCAAGCTTAGACTGCGCTATACCGCTATCAGCCGGTCGCCAGAGCCTCGTTCGTTAATCAGCAGGATGACCGCGGGCAGGTGAGGTTGACTTGGAATGAATAGATGGTGTGTCATTCCCATACATTCCCTTACGGCAAACACAGCTTGGAGAGGGAAATCAAGAGAAGGATCCAACTGGGCTGGGCGGCGTTCGGCAAACTGCGTGGAATCTTTTCATCGCACATCCCACAGTGCCTGAAAACGAAAGTTTTTAACCAGTGCGTCCTACCGGTAATGACTTACGGAGCCGAAACGTGGACACTCACAGTACGGTTGGTCCGTCAGCTCAAAGTCGCTCAGCGAGCCATGGAAAGAGCCATGCTCGGAGTTTCTCTGAAGGATAAAATCCGGAATGAGATTATTCGACAGAGAACTAAAGTCACCAACATAGCTCAAAGAGTCAGCAAGCTGAAGTGGCAGTGGGCTGGCCATATATGCCGTAGGACTGACGATCGCTGGAGCAGACGGGTTCTCGAGTGGAGACCGCGCAGCGGAAGACGTAACGTGGGACGCCCCTTGGCTAGATGGTGCGATGACCTCCGCACGGTGGCCGGCAAGAAGTGGATGAGGAGAGCCGCAGACCGGGCTCAGAGGTGTGGATTGGGAGAGGCCTATGTCCAGCAGTGGACGACTGTGGGCTGTTGATGATGATGATGATGATGATGATGAACTGGTCCCGTGGTAAGTTCGTAAATAACTTGTGTTACAGGTACCAGATAACGGAAATAAATGTAATATTTTTATTATACACATACATATATTTAATATACATCCATAACCCTTTTTTTT